TTCAAATATTTTCTATCATTCTGCATAATTTGAAGTACCAATGCTGGCCAAAGACAAATATTTTAGATTTTACCATGTGTCTTTAAAAACTTCTCATTTCAGTGATTATTCCCGACCCCACAGAGACAGGCCTCCTGCAAGAAGGAATGTAATGTGAAGATAATCATTCTGTAATTGTACTCCACTTATGACTGGCCCATGGTTGGCACTCATAAAGTTGTGGGTTTTTTTCTTTTAAGATTTTATTTATTTATCTGACAGAGGGAGACACAGCAAGAGAGGGAACACAAGCAGGTGGAGTGGGAGAGGGAGAAGCAGGCTTCCCGCCGAGCAAGGAGCCCGATGGCAGGGCTCGATCACAGCACTCCGTGATCAGAACCTGAGCCAAAGACAGATGCCTAATGACTGAGCTACCCAGGCGCCCCGGCACTCATAAAGTTTTGTTGCATGAATAAACTAACGTAGTAAGTTACTAGTACTTTTGAGAAAATAATTTAATGTAATGACAATAAGAATAATACCAAACAAATGTATTTCAATGGGTAGAATTGTAGTTAATGTGGCACTTGGATGGGAGAAGAATTTGAGAAAATCATTTGTGAAGGCCTCTAAATTTCCTGGTTCTATAAATACCGGTATAAAGGAATGTTTCACAATTTTAAAATTACATATATTTTTCCTTCTTTGGTCTATACACAACATTAAAATAATGTTAGAAGTGTAACAGTAGCCAACTGAGTATTTGGAATGTCTTCTTTTTACTAATTAATAAAATAAAGCTATCATTAGGCCTAAAATTGTACTTCTCTTTTCTTAAAAATGCCCTAGATACAGATTTTATTTGAAAAGAAGAAGAGCTTATCCCAGACAGGAAAAGAGAATATTGGAGATAAAATTATACATCCCACAGAACATTCTTTCTGTATAGATCCCAGCCTGTGCCAACTCCATGGATGCAGAGGCACATAAAAGAAAGTCATAGTCTCCTCTGGTTTCAAGTGGCAGATTCAGAGAATTCAAAATGCCTATATCCAGAGAAGTAGGTCTAATGAATAATATTAAAATAATATTTCCCTTCCTGCCATTTGTGACAACATGGATTGAGCTTGAGGACACTCTGCTGAGTGAAGTCAGAGAAACACAAACACTGTATACTGCTTAATGTAGACTCTGTTACTTAAGAACATTTCCCTGTTATTAAAAAAAAAAAAAATATATATATATATATATATAATGCATACACACACACATATATAATGCATACACACACACATATATATATAATGCATACACACATGTATATGCATACACACACATAGATTTTACAAATAAATTCAGTATTTAGTCAGTTATTAGAGAATCTAAACTAGGCTTTAACTTATTTTTCTATCTTTCTCTTACTTAAAATATCATATTGACCAGAGCTTTTATTTTGTGTAATGTCCCACTGAAGCCAACATTTAATTTAATTGATTAATTCATGATACAAACTGCCACTAAAGGAGTCTATTTTTTAGGAGAGAAAAATGCATGATATGTGTGTGTGTGTGTGTGTGTTTGTATTTATGAAAAGCTACCATTATATGTGCAAACACAAAAATAGGCACTTTTCACAGAATAATTTTAAAATACTTATGTGGGGTACTAAAAATAGCATTCTCCAAAATCATATTCACAGGACAATATGCCACGTATATATGCCATGCCCTCTTTCCCCAATACTACAACTGCTTAGAAGAATAGATAACTGTTGAGATATAATAATGCATAGTACCTCATTATACAAAAAAGATAGCATTTTATTTCTATAAAGTCCTTTTGAAAAAACTAAAAATGAGGCTTAAAGTTTAATTAATGTGAAATGAAGATTTTCTCTACAAGTAATGCTTTGGTTTATTGAGTTAGAGATCAGGTTGAATGTAATACCTAGATGAACCTGATCCTTGAGGGATCACTAGACTAATTAGTGCCTTCTGCAGGCAGCGCAGGCATGATGTACCTCTCTTAACAAACTTACTAACAGGAGAAGTGGAAAACAAATAAACAACCTGGGAACACAAGCTATACATGCAATCAAATAACCAAAAGTATCTATAGATATGCAGATACAGACACAGTACATTTCTGAGAAGGTGAGAAACTTGAAAGGTTCTAAAGATTGTTACTAAAATTTGTAACAACTTCAACCAGGTTGATATGGATGGGAGACTATTGCAAGGACTGAGGCTCTGATGGAGTTTTACAGGAAAAATCCTTCACAGTGTTCTAGGGTAAAAGAGATGTATATAATAATGAATGGCCAAACATACGTGGGGAAGGAAAAGGTATTTAGCACATAGATGATGAGACAAAACTCCATGAGAAAGACAAGAGCTTTAGAAAGGACTGAAGTTTGGTATAATGATATGTCACTGAGGACTATTGTGTCTATGAGACTCAAATGAATGAACTCCCTAAATAGCTATGATACAACCAAGATTGTTTTTCTGCAGAGATTTTGTTTCTAATCATGAATGGACTCTTGCTAAAGTTTTCCTTGTAAAATCAGACGCCTAATCCTGGACTCTTGCTAAGTTTTCCTCATAAAATCAGAAACCTTATCCTAACCTAAAATCAGAAACATTTCCCAAATACACACTTTAATCTAAAATATTCCAACTTCTATTTTGGGAAGCTAGTAAAACCCAGGAGGAAAGGAAAATAAAAATAATTATGGTGATAATTTTCATGTTTTCATTAAGATGATTTTCCTCATTTTTGAAGGGATTGGTCATTATTTTGTTCTTGTTAAATAAGTTTTAAAAATAATTATAGCTTAGAAAAGCATAAATAACTTCCTGAAGTTCTATTCCTGAAAACACTCCACCATTTGCTCAATACCAATTTGTTCAAATACCGTTTGCTCAAATACCAGTAAGTGACTTGTAACAGATAGATAACAAAGTTCTGGAGATATAATGCATACCATGGTGATTATAGTGAATAATACTGTAATACATATTTCAAAGTTGCTAAAATACTAGGTCTTAATTGTTCTTATTATAAGAAAGAAGTGGTAATTATGTGAACTGACAGAAGTATTAAGACTACAGTCTTAATTTCAGAATCAGAATTGGGGCTGTACCTAGTAAGTTATACATAGATACCAAGGTTTAAGCTATATAGAGCCCAGGGTTAAAGCTTGGAGGGATATAAGAACAAGGAGTCAGTCACATGCAGATCCAGTATTAAACCTGAAAATTCTTTTCTTTACATTGGAATTAATTTCCGTTTCTGTAAAATTTTTACTTCATTTTTCCTGACCTCTGATTTTTAGTCTCTTCAGAAATTCTAGAAGCCTTGGTTTTTCTTTTTAAAAAAAAATATATATATATATATATTTTTTTAATTTGTCAGAGAGAGAGAGAGCATAAGCAGGGCAAATAGCAGGCAGAGGGAGAAGCAGACTCCCCGCTGAGCAGAGAGCCTGTGGGACTCATCCCAGGACCCTGGGATCATGACCTGAGTTGAAAGCAGCCACTTAACCCACTGAGCCACCCAAGCATCCTAGCCTTCCTTAGTTTTTCTTCACAACTATCTTCACACAGACTTCAATGTTTGGAACTCATTACCTCCATTTCCAGTGTCATTCCCTAATTAAATATTTCCCTCCTTTTTGGAGACAATTTTGTTTGTACATCAACATGTTGACAGAGCCCCTCTCCCCCAACCACAACTCAGTCCAATCAATTTAAGAGTTCAGGTTTTTAAAGGCTCAGCTGGATCTACAATCAATCTTTGATCCTGCTTCCAACTGAGAAAAGGTAAAACAATAAAGTAAAATGTTCATAGTTACATTCATTGTTATTCACCTGGTAGTGTTCTATTATAATAATTTTTCATGGCTATTATTGTTTTATGGAAAAAAATTGCCTATTTATGATTAATAATTATATAATTAATTATATTTATTTTAAAGACTATATTTCAAAATAGTTCATTCAAGATCTATACTTTCACAGGCTGACTTCCAACATAACCTCAAGACTCCAGACCATCAACAGAGCAAATTGGTATATCTTCTTGTGTATCTTCACATTGAACCATTTCATATTTCAACATACATACTTCATTCAGCAAATTTTCCTGAAGAACTAAAACAAGCCAAAACATATGTCTCGATGCCTGAACTGGAAATGGAAAGCTAATATCTATGTTGTCATCACAATCCCATTTCTATTGCTGTGTTTCTTTCAGTTCATCTAAAGTTAACCAAACACATGACTCATCAAACATCTACTGACCATCAATGAAAAACAGGTATGTTTAGTTATGTGAGAAAACTCAAAAACCAAAATATACAAATACCACATATAAAGAATAATGCAGGTAATCTGGTGCAAGATATCAGATGTAAACTTGCTTATATACTTTTTAAAAATTTTATAAACTTGTCATATTCTTAGAATCCGATAAATAATTGTCATTTAAAGGGTAAAATTACTTATATCTATTACATCATTACACAGAAATGTTCAAATATAATTTATTGTATGTAAAAAGGATTACAAATATAATCAATTAAGTGGATTAAATGAATTAATCCATTCACCAATATAAAAATTAACTATTAATCAACTAATAAATAACCATTAACTATATTAGTGAATGAATTAACATTAAATTAATGGACATAAAGAAAAACTATTAATAAAAGTCATTTTCCTGTGTATTAAATCTAATATAATTATCATTTGGCAAAAAAAAAGCTATTGTGAATCTTACTGCTATAATAAGATACAATAATTTCCTTTCTTTTCAGTGATACAATAATTTTAATTTTATATCCCAGGGTAAATGTAAATTTGGATACTACACAGAAAAACTTATCATAAATAAGTATTTGAACTTTCAATAATCCTTAACATTAATATTAGAATTATACATTTCTGTCAGTTTTCTACACCTCAGTAAAACATCTTTGAAGAAACTACAATCTTTAAGAACAGAAGAATGCTCACCTTATTACAAAGTTGTGACTGTCAATCTCCTTTCCACATTCACTATCTAGCAGAATGCCAGAATTTCCAACAACTGCACAGGTCTTAAACCTGCGATTTTTCATTGGTGAGACTTCAGGTAGGAGGCTGTGAAGATCCTGAGAAATATTTAATGTCCTGCGCCTGTCTAGCACATAGTGTATGACATCACCAGGCTTAAAACTGCTCTTGACCACTGAGACATCTCTTTCCGCATCTAGGAAACGAAGAATGTTCTTCCTATATTGAAATACAAGCGAAGTTTTCCATTAATGACAACATATCCAAGAGATGGTTCTATCATGTACAAAATAAGATATGAGAAAACGTAAACTGAACACTACTAATCTTAAATTGTTAGGTGGTACTTAAACCAACCAATTAAATAGATTCTACTGATACTGAATTTGTTTTTAAAAAATCACTTGCATAGAGTTTCTCAACGATTGGTAAATAAATATAGTATATAGTATATACATCTATTTATAGAGCGAAAAAAGATACAGAAAATATATTTGGGTATAGCCACTGTGGAAAACAGTATGGAAGTTCCTCAAAAAATTAAAAACAGAACTATCTTACAACCCAACAATCACATGACCAAGTATTTACCCAAAGGATACAAAAATACTGATTCACAGGGGCGCATACACCCCAAAGTTTATAGCAGCACTGTTAGAAATAGTGAAATTATGGAAAGAGCCCAAATGTCCGTCAGCTGATGAATGGATAAAGAATGGATAAAGAGATGTGATATATACACTCAGCCATCAAAAAGAATGAAATCTTGCCATTTGCAGCAATGTGGATGGAGCTAGAGTATATTATGCTAAGCAAAATCCGTCAGAGAAAGACAAATAGCATACGATTTCACTCCTATGTGGAATTTAAGAAACAAAACAGATGAACATAGGGGAAGAGAAAAAAAGAAAAAAAGAGAGACTCTTAACTATAGAACAAACTGAGGGTTGCTGGAAGGAAGGTGGGCAGGAGATGGGCTAAATGCGTGATGGGTATTAAGGAGGGCACCGATTGTGATGAGCACTGGGTATTACATCTAAGTGATGAATCACTAAATTCTACTCCCGAAACCAGGATTATACTATATGTTAACTAACAAGAATTAAAATAAAAACTTAAAGAAAAAAATAAGAAAAATTAGTTTATTAAATAAAATGAAAATACCATGATTTGGCTTTGTATAACTAGATATTCTGCTAGCTTTAATTAATTCTCTATAATAATTTTGTTTTGTTTAATATTGTCTAGTTAAGGTAAATAGAAATAACTCAAAGTGGTTTGGAATCATATCTTACTTAATTCTATTAAAAGGATTAAATTTCCTAATAAATTTATATACATTAATCCAAATCATGTGTATATTATAATTATTTGAAGAAGAGTTAAAACTATGCTATCTGAAAGTTTCCTTTGAAGCTCAAGAATCCAGGAAGAAAAATGGGTATGTTAGAGGAAAAAAAATGGATAGGCAGAACACCACACTATGCCCGGCAGAGACAGCTAATTTTTCCTTAGTGTTCTTCCTTCCAGTCTTCCTTTCAGTATTTGTATCTTCTAAGTTTTACTGAGGCACATGAATCTTCAACCAGGAAATTTCCAAGTTTACAAACCCAAGTGCATGTGGGTTTGGTCATGTGAGTTTTCTTACATGGGATATGAGTAGATCATGTGCATGGCTATACAAGAGAGAAATAAACTTCCAACTTGTTTGAACCATAGTATTTTAAAATATCATTCTCTTTTGTTATGGAAGCTTAGCCTATCCCACACATAATAAAAAGAAACCAATAACAGATATGAGATGTTGTATAAACAAGTAGGTAAATGCTAAGTTAGATGGTGGAAAATGAAAATAAAGATATAGCTAGTTAGAAAGCTAGCGACCTTGGCATTATATAGCAAAGCACTTGATAAAATGATTGTCTGAAGTAATTTGGCAGTCAAATCCTATATCTAATAAGCCTGTTGCTCTTGGAGACATGGTTAAAAAGTGTTTGTATGCTGTTTCATGTTAGTTGCCCCTTCTAGCAAGGCACTAAAAAAAGCGAAGTCAGGAATGAAACAGCCAAGTTGCAGGCTCAGAAGGATAAGAATGTCTCTGGCAATAAATGGCGTGTATGTAAACTGTGTGTAGACTGTGTGAAAGTGTGGAAACTTGAGACCTCCAAAGTGTTTTTAATACCCCAGTTAGCAAGAGATAAAACTATAGTTCAGAGCCGTTCCAGGAGCAAGAGTCATTGCCCTCCCACCGAAGTTTATAGATTCAAATAAGTTAGGAGGAAAATGAAGGGAGAAAAGGGTTAGGCTAGAACAGGGAGAGTCAGAGACTGAAGAACTATTCAGGTGAAATATTTGGGTGCAGTTATTTATACCAGTAATTAAGTACAAGGAAATGGCCCAGGAGCCTACTAAGTTTTCGAGGGAATTATATAGCCAAAGAAACAATGAGCCTGCCCACAGAAGTCTGAGACCACCTCATTCTCCAGCTACCAAACACATACCAGCTAGAAGCAATATGGGAAAACCCTCTCCAGACTGGAGATTGGATATTATTTACTGAAGTGCTCTTATTGCAAGCTTGTATTTCCAGAGTGCTAAAAACAATACCATTATTACAACGTTGAAGATATGACAGACATCGTTTCCTTTAGTGCTGTTACTGTTTAAGCTCTATCACATTCATAAATTTTAGTACTGAGCACAATATGACCTACTCTCATCATTCCACCAAAAGGGCAATTCTCCCAGTCCCAGGTACAAGCCAGAAACATGGCTAGCAAGAAGAGATGGAAAATAACTCAAATATTTCTTTTTTGTTTATTTTGGTTTGCTTTAAATAGGTCCTAGTTTAATTTGTAGTCTTATTAGAAAACCAGTTGGCTGAAAACTTTGGCCAGATTTGATACATAAGGGATACATTCATTAACTCTCATAAGGGATACATAAGGGATACATCCATTAACTCTCTGGAAAAGAAAATATTTTTTTGAATTTTTTTCTTCAATCAGAATACCAGGTTCGTTAAGTAGAATTTATATAGGAAAGCTTGTGTAAGTGCCTACAAGTGAAATTTAAAAATTAATAGTAATGCGGGGCGCCTGGGTGGCTCAGTGGGTTAAAGCCTCTGCCTTCGGCTCAGGTCATGGTCCCAGGGTCCTGGGATCGAGCCCCTCGTCGGGCTCTCTGCTCTGCAGGGAGCCTGCTTCCTCCCCTCTCTCTCTGCCTGCCTCTCTGCCTACTTGTGATCTCTCTCTCTGTCAAATAAATAAATAAAATCTTTAAAAAAATTAATAGTAATGCTATCAGGTACCATAACGGTTCATCTTAACAAAGTACAGATTACATATGAAGACAATTGCCAGGGAATCAACAACTTTCAGGTGTATGAATAGCAGAAAACTGACAAGTCTTGCCTTATGGTAAGCACATTTAGTTCTTCACAAAAGTTAAGCAGCACCAGGAACAGCAATCCATAGAAACTTCTGTATCTACTTAATAACTACCATTTGTTTGGGGGAAAAAATTTAGTAATGCCTGACACCTATATTTCAAAAAATAATCTCATTTCCTGTGGAAATGACAAGGCTGGCTCTAAAATAAAAATTGCACGGATGTGGTCAAATCACCAAACTAGCTGGTATTATCATTTTCCTTTGAACATGGTTTAAAGGGTGGGTTGTAGATATTTGAAGATGTAACTTGCAAGTAGTGAAATGTTTACAAGTGTGAAGAGAATAGACCAGAGATTCAGATTTGAAAGAAGACTCTTTAACCTGGAAATCCAAAAGGGAAAATCCCTTTATTCACAAAACAAGTTAACACTTCTATGCTTGTCAACTGATGGTACAAGGGACTTTCCAATAATAGCATCTTTGCTGTCTTACAGAAATTTAGCAGCAAAATATTTTAAACACAGGTCTTCTACATTCCTGAGTATAACAGAACATCTTTAATGTGTTCACTCTTAGGGAAAACTGATACTAAAAAAAAAAAAAGTGGACAATAAGAGTTCAGCGAAATTTCAGGGACACTTGGGGGGGCTCAGTTCACTAAGTGTCTGCCTTGGGCTCAGGTCAAGATACCAGGGTCCAGGGATTGAGCCCTGTGTAGGGTTCCCTACTCAGTGGGGAGCCTGCTTCTCCCTCTCCCTCTGCTCCTCCCTGGGCTCATGCTCTCTCTTTCTCTCTCTCAAATAAATAAATAAAATCTTTAAAAAGAAAAAAAGAAGTTCAGCAAAATTTCTAAAGATACCACATTGCCTAACTCTTGAGATAAATGACATAATTATTAAATGCAGATAATACTATGTGTTCTTCCAATATTGTTTTTATAGGCTCAATGATTGTTTATTCTGTCAGAGCAGTATCTGCATTTTTAAACTGAAAGAAGGGTGAAAGGAAACCTTGAATGTCTCCAGTATGTTCTTTTTCTTATACTGAACTAAACTTTTAGTTTCCATGTTAGGGCTTACATCTATGCATGGAATATTATTTGAGCTAAGATTCCTGGTGTAAGATTCAAGAAAAACTGAAAATAATTACAATGAGTGAGCAATATTGTGGCTTCAATGCTTAACATTTTTTTTGGAAACAGTAAGGAAAGGTTAGGGTCTTTTTTTTTTCCTCCCTAGCAAGCTGTAGTAATTTTTTATTTTATTTTTTAAAGAATTTTAGTTATTGGGGCGCCTGGGTGGCTCAGTGGGTTAAAGTCTCTGCCTTGGGCTCGGGTCATGATCCCAGGGTCCTGGGATCGAGCCCCGCATTGGGCTCCCTGCTAATAAGCAGTGAGCCTGCTTCCCCCCCTCTCTCTCTGCCTACTTGTGATCTCTGTCTGTCAAATAAATAAATAAATAATCTTAAAAAAAAAAGAATTTAGTTATTAAATTGAGAGATAGATAGAAAACATGCACAGCGTGGGGAAGGGGAAAGGAAGAGGAAGAGGGACAAGTAGACTTCTTGCTGAGCACAGAGCCCAACTCAGACTAGATCTTAGGAACCCTGGGATCGTGACCTGAGACCAAGGCAGACACCTAACGAACTGAGCCACTGAGGGACCGCTAGGCATTTTTTAGATTATAGATGTAATGGACTATAAAAAGTTCTGTAGATTTCTTTGTTATTCACACTGTAGGCATATGAAAAAAAGAAAACTAGTGCTTAAATATAATTAACTAAATGTCATTGGAAGCATGAAAAACTTTCAGTGAACTGAATAATATT